TGAAAGATCTTTGCTGTTTTTCAGATTGTCTTGTTTCAATCCACTGTGGAGGATAAATCCAATATTTCCTTTAAATTGCCTATTTTAAATTTGGTTTGGCTGATCCAACAAGTTTAGAAAAGATTGCGCAAAAATTTGTGCGATAGTCGATCGAATTGTGACGTCACTAACGCACTCGTTTGTTTACGTCTTGTGGTTTCCAAGACGCTTCTACTGCCCGCGCTGATTGGTTAATAATCACCTGGCAACGACGCAACGAAACAACATCAAATGCGGCTGACAAAAGAGAAAGCTATTTGTGAGGCTTGATTACTTTGAGGAAAGTGTTTAGAGATTTAGAACGGTGTAATACTGGCTACGATCGAATCTAGAGAAAGAGTATTATGATAACAACGAGTCAACGGAAACCTATGCCGGTTTCTAAGCGGAGTACGGGAGGAGATGCGATTTATGTGGACAGAAATGGAAATACGGATGCTTTACCACCACTGAAACCGTCGACGAAAGGCAATGTTAAAGCCCATGATTCGACCGTGTCTAGTGCTTTGCCGATTGTCGGAGGCGTTCAGGTACAACAGCTGTTTGAAGAAGAAACAAACCAACTGAATAAGAACAGGATCGCCAACGAAATGCATGGTCTTCCGGCAGTTCATAGGCCAGCGTCTGTTTCGGGAAACGGATCGCCAGCGTCGGGAAGAAGACCTAGCACAAATGGCTCCGGTTCGCTTAAAGCTCGCGGGCTGCCGATGTCGCCAGAGACGGCAATGAAACAGTTCATGCACAAACTAACTAGTTTTGAACATCATGAGATCTTTAATTATCCAGAAATCTGGTTTGTTGGTCCAAACGCAAAGAAACGACAGGGTGTGGTTGGTGGTGCGAATAATGGTGGCTACGATGACGATCAGGGCTCCTACATCCAAGTTCCACATGACCACATCGCTTATCGCTATGAAGTTGTCAAAATTATCGGTAAAGGAAGCTTTGGACAAGTCGTGAAAGCCTATGATCATAAAACGCAAACTAACGTGGCGCTCAAAATGGTCCGCAACGAGAAGCGATTCCACCGGCAAGCGCAGGAGGAAATCAGGATTCTAGAACATTTAAGAAAGCAGGATAAGGAAAATGTTCATAATATCATTCATATGTTAGAACATTTTACTTTCCGCGGACATGTTTGTATGACTTTCGAACTGCTTAGTATGAATCTTTACGAGCTCATAAAGAAGAACAAATTTCAAGGTTTTAGCCTGCAGTTGGTACGCAAATTCGCACACTCCATTCTTCAATGTAGCGACGCTCTTTATCGAAACCGTATCATTCACTGCGATTTAAAACCGGAGAACATTCTTCTAAAGCAGCAAGGAAGAAGTGGAATTAAGGTGATTGACTTTGGATCTAGTTGCTATGAACATCAACGCATTTACACGTACATTCAAAGCCGTTTTTACAGAGCGCCCGAAGTCATACTCGGCGCCAAGTATGGCATGGCAATTGATATGTGGAGTTTCGGATGTATTTTAGCTGAACTATTAACTGGCTATCCTTTGTTTCCCGGCGAGGATGAAGGAGATCAGTTGGCTTGCATTATTGAGCTGTTGGGGATGCCGCCTCAGAAGCTTTTAGAAACATCAAAGCGAACCAAGAACTTCATCAACTCTAAAGGTCATCCGCGGTACTGTACTGCTACGACGCTTCCCGATGGTAGTACTGTTTTAACCGGTGGCCGTTCAAGGCACGGCAAAACACGGGGACCACCTGGCTCCAAGAAGTTCACAACTGCTCTGAAAGGCTGTGATGACTCCCAGTTCATTGATTTTCTTCAGAGATGTTTAGAATGGGATCCTTCGCAACGAATGACCCCCTCGCAAGCCTTACGGCATCCATGGCTTCGAAGGCGCTTGCCTCGAGCCCCTGAATCGAACGAGAAATCGAGCTATCAACGACACAATTCAGGATCCGGCGTCTCCAAACTGCCACCAGCTGCACCTACTTCGGGAAAAGCAAAGCCACGTAGGCAAATCGAGGAAATTTTGGACGATGGACACAGAGTTAGCGAATCTGCTAAGCTCAACACAAGAACTGTGCTACCAAAAATAGTCGGGAGATAATATTGTTCAATTTCAGACTGATAAATTGCAACATTATATTTTCTTGTAGCATCCTTTTCAATCGGAACTTTTTTAGCGTTTTTGTTTCTGTTATTAATTTTCTTTGAACTCATTTCCAAGAAACTTTATTATTTTTTCTTATTTTACTTTTAGAGGTGTTAGAACTGTGAAGTCTGTTAAGGTTTTTGAGTTCATCTGCGGCCAATGTTGAATTCAGAATATTCGTCCTTGCATGCTTTTGCCGTGGAAATCTTTTATGCTAACTCGTACGTATTTACTTACGTAAGATATTTTAACGGATGGGATGATTTTAAGCCAAAGAAAAAGAATTCACTATTTTTGTCAAGAAAACTCAAATGCTCGATTTATCATTGAATTTAAGTTATAAAACTACGTTGTAAAAAGAATTTTAAAATTTATTCTCTGTACGGAAGTGTGCTTAGATGTAATTAATATTCAAGGTTGTTGTAAATACACATGTACTTAGCGAATTCACGTTCAGAAAAATATATAAGTAGTATGAATTTTTTTACCCGCATGAAAGCGGACAAAAGTTGGTTTAAAGTCATTGTATAGTAAAAGATGGAAAAAAGGATTAAAGAATTCTACTTTTCCAAAAAATGCATTGTTTATAATCATGACTTCAGTCATTTCCCAAGATAGCAACATTTTACTTGCTGAAGAAAACAAAAATCAGGTTGATTGATTCCAAGCATGAACCGTGGATTTCGTGAGGCTGATGCCCACATCCCCGAAGTAAATCATGAGGTTTACGTATACACGTAAACATCCAAGTTCTCAACCTATTAGTTCAACCTTGTGCATGCTTTGAGTGTCGCGTGACATGCCCAGCGTTATCAATTCTTAATTCGTCTGCGGTTACATGCTAATTCACGATGGCTGGGACATTTTTTATTTTTGTTTTTTCTTTAATTATTTTGTTAAGAATGAAAAGTTTGAGAATCCACCAGACGAAAGGAAACTACAATAATATTTTTAAAAACATAAATTAGGCTCCGTTTGTCGTGGCATCACGCATGTTCAGAATGTGTTTGGCTCCACGCATGATGCTCAACTGCCGACCTGTTTTTTTTTTTTAATTTTCTCGATGTAGATTAATTTTGACAATTTCAGGGTAGGCAATCTTTCAAAAACAAGTTGATTTTAGAAGGCATTGTTTTAGAATATCCCAATAATTCTGATTTTGTATTGTGTCATGTTAATTACATTGGAAGATCAAAACCTCCTTTACCCTGTGGTCCAATATTTGCAAGAAACCTGTCTTATAAACTGTAGAATGTAGGCATAACTTAAGAATTATGAAAAACACAAAACTGGAACATAGATAGCTGTAAATAAACTTGTTAATGTCAAGAAAGGCAAATATTTACCGAGTTGACCTGCCGGCCCCTGAGCTCCACAGACTTCGTGAATAATTGATTTGATAGCTAATGGCTTATTTTGGCGTTTAATTTTATTGCTTTTGATATCTTTTGGTTCACCGACCTCAAAGTTTTTATAGTCAAGTGTTTACCAAGTTCAAGCCACTGACTGAAAATTGCGTAGTGCCTTACTTATGTTAAACTATATAAAAGAAATTTCATTTTCCCGGAACTTTTAATTAATCCCTATAATTTGTAATTTTGCCAAACTCAACCGGTTTTGAAATAATTGTCCAATATCATCCTTGTTTTCCTTTTTAAAATGACAGAAGATGACCTTTATCCAGCTACTAGCCAAGGACATATTCTACTGTTTTTTTCACTAACATCATCATTTTTAATGTTCATCAAAGCAGTGATCAAGCTGTTTGTTTTGAGGCAATATATAATTTTATTCATAATTTGATACTTTGTCTTACAAGTCACAATCTGAAACAATTTGACCCCTAAAGAGTACGAATTATCTTGAAAATTGCGTTTTTGAAGGTTTTTTTGTTATCAGGGGAGCGGTAGGGAGATAGCGAGGGCAACATCACCAGTATAACGAAAATTCTTAGGGGTACAGGGTTGGGTGGAAGGGCATGTTGAATCACATGTCTTTCACAGGTCGCGAAATAAATTTTCAAGGTCGGAGAGTTTTTTGTTCTTTTTTCAGGCAGAGAAAATTTTCAATTTTGGAGGAAAGTCGCAGAAGTTAAAATTGCGTCACCGAGAGTTAATATGATTGATCGAAGGCTGGAAGAAGCTTTTTAGGTCACTGTTATTACAAGAATGCCTTTCATTAATGGAAAGTAAAAGACGAGAAATGATTTCCACTTCTTATCAATTAAGGCCCTCATAATACCGTAAAATTCTGAAAAATAAGCCTCTCCATGTACAAGCCCCTCCAAATATAAGCCCCCCAAAATCGTAACGCAAAAAAGCCTCCGTAAAAGCGCCCCTCCGAATATAAGTCCCCCGGGGGCTTGTACTTGGAATTTGCCCTCGAATACAAAGTAAAACAAAACAAAAATGGTAAATTTCCTTCCCGCTGAAAGCTAGCCCAATCGATTTTGAAACGCAAATTTCCCTCCGTACATAAGCCCCTCCAAAACTAAGCCCCTCAAAAAGGGCCTTTGAAAAATGTAACCCGCGGGGGTTATTTTCGGAATTTTACGGTATACAGTTGACTCCCGATAACTCGAAGTAATTTGCGTTTCCCTTCAGATCATTTCTATACAATTCTACCCTCGATAATTCGAACCATGTAAAGCGCGTGACAAGCCAGGAAAAAAACCTGAAGTCCAAGACATTGAATTTATTTCAAAGTAACCGAGTCAATTCTTTTTTCTTTTTTACTTTTTTGTCACTCCAGTTCAAATTCAGTGTCCATCCTAGTATACTTTGTTGCTTAATTCAATATACAAGTCTCATTAAGTCGCACACTCTCTAGAATGTGCTACAAGAGGTGTACCCCTGAAATTTAGTCGTACACGCCCAATATAAATATTTAAAAATGAATGTAAAATTCAAAAATAGCCACACCCATCACACCAGGTATTATTATTGTTGTATCACTCTGTTACCTGCAAGCCATCTCTTTGGGCCCTCACCCAATTCCCCCCTCCCGACCACCACCATCTTCAACATCAAGAACTTATGTTTAGGGGCAACTATTATTGACAAACTGATTTCACTGACTCTGAGCATTCATACATGTATTAGAGTACAGTAACTCTCATTACAGCTACTAGCTATAGCATAGTCTTGTTTCAGGGGGGTTAGGGTGGTGCAGTGGTGATAGCATTCGCTTTCCACCAAAGTAGTCCGGGCTCAAATCCTGACATCGACACCATGAAGGCGAGTTTGTTCAATACTGTAGACTAGACTCTAGTCGTATCCCCTTGCTTTCCACTAAAAGTCTATAGCTAAAAAGGCAGAAAGTCTTTCCTACAATTTAAAGTTAGGGAACTTTTCAAATCTGAACCCAAATAGATTCCATAGAATCATGAACAGATTCATAAGAATACTAAACTAACCCTTTGTCAAAGCAAGGAGATTCACGTTGAATGAGAGGCTTGACAGAGGCCTCCACTGGACATGTATAATTCCACTGGCGATCTACATTTTTTATTAATTATTAACAATATTATTGTGAAAGACGTAATCTGAAAAGTCATGCTGAAATGCTGAAAAATCAACAAGGAATTATTTTTATTAGTAGTAAGTATAAAATACACATACAGCCACATATCTCATGTAGAATGGTTCAAATTTTAATTTGTGGACCTTCCCTTTTTTTTACTTATTCATTACACTGCAAGCTCAAGTTTTACAATTATAGTACACATTTACATCTAATAAAATGGTAATTTAATATTACATTAATGAGCTTTGAGCCTCTGATATATGTTTTAAGTCAACTTCAACTATATTTAGTTATGTTGATCTACATTTTTACTTACAAAATTTTTTTTTGGCATAACGTTTTGAAAAGAGATACACAGAGTGCCTTGTGCATTTAATGCATCTTGTAAACTTTAAAAAAAATCACAAAAAACAAAACAAAATCACCTTCAGCTAAGAACATTCTACATTACAGAAAATGGCACTACACCAATAATCTCATAGGACATTAATGGTAAGATGCAGAAAAATTAATACACTTCAAATTCACTTTACATATGATCATTTTTTTTAGCTTTGTGAAAACTACTATGAATTATGGACCAAAATAATTTTTTTTACTCACTACCTAATGAACAACACTGCCACATGATTTTGATGGATGACCTGGTAGAAAAACCAACCAACCACTAGTGAAGGTTGGTATTGCCTGTGCCACAGATGAAACTAAACACCTGGTTTAGTCTGTCTGCAAGCCAGCACTGAAATCCTTGTTCTAGGCCAATAGCCGAGTACCAGGATTTGAATATGCATCATTGTTTGCCATGAATGTCGATTTGCCAATTAAGTTGAAGGGGAATTTGAAACATACTTCCAGTAATTAGTTAGGCCCGTTGGGGGCCCAGAACTAGGATATCAACACTTCTTCAAAGACATTACCAGCTAGGGTTGTATTAAGTCTGCGAAGCAATGATGAACTATAATTAAAAGATTTGGTGTCCATTTCTCACAAAATCCCACAAAATTAATTATAATTATATTAGTGTAGAACTATTAACATGTATCTAACTACATGGGTAAGATTCAACAAGACACATGTACCAGTAGAACTCAGAAAAATATCTGTGTTGTGGTTCAATTTTGTTCTTGGTTTAAATTTGATGTTCCTTCGTTTTTGGGTATGGTAATATATGATAATGAGTTTGAAACAAAGGGAAATAAATTTGAACCAAGGATAAAACTGAACCACAAGATCTACACTACGCAAAAAGCCAAACGCAAAATAACTGCCTTAAGTACTGAATGCTCACTGGCCAGTGCGACAACACACACGATTCTTGCACTCAAGATTTTGACATCCACTTGCTGTGTCAGGGTAGGGGCCCTCATCAATATTATCACAGTAAAAGAACTCCGTATGGTCCAGATTAGGGCACACCTTCACCAAGTCTA